TATATTTAGACTTTTGTATAACTGACTTGAAACAGTGTCACAGTGCTTCCTGTTTTTGTTATAAATATTATATACTAGTAAAGACCCGCAACTTCGTCCACATAATCAAAACATATAGTTTATCCGGCATAAAAATAGTCTATGTCCTTATCCATCTGATATAGTAATTGCACTCAAGATGTAATAAATAAACTTACTTTTACTTTTTATAAAGTAAAAGTGAGTTTATTTATTATATCTTATATTATTATTTGATAAAGTTTTTCATGTTTTCATACATGTAATGTTTTTTTTTATGGAACTTAGAATGACAGACAAGCTGACGGCCCACATGATGAAAAGTGGTAACCGTCATCTATAGACGTGAGCAGTACCATGAATATAACAGAGTATACTGTTTCATCCATGACACCTCCTATGCGTTGCCATTCCTGCGGACTAAGATGTTATTCCTCTGTATCCTGTTATTTCACTACCATATCTATATCTATTTCATACAAACCTATTTAATTGTGTAATATCTTATCTTATACATATTGCGAAATTCCACAAATGAGGTCAAATTGAAATGTGTAAAAAATTGTCTTATCATCATTTTGTATGTAGAACCAACATATAAAACCACAAGTGCGCACTTATCCGTCATATTTCAAAAAGCCATCGCTTTCCCGAATAGGCCAATATTCATAAGAATTATGCTTTTCATAAAACTCGAACAGCAGAACAACCAGTCAAACAAGTCGCACAGAAGAATACGCATTACCGTAAAAATAAAAGTCGAAACCTTTTAGTTGGACCGTACTCTACGCGCAAATTGTGCTTTGAGTACTGCACTGATAAATTACGGCCGTCTCTCTCTTTCATATGACATGTACGCACACACTCTGTCTCTCAAAAGTAGTGTGTGTATGTAATAAAGTAAGGGCTTAAGTGATTTTGACAATGGAAAGGATTTGGCGACGCGTGATTGTAATAATAAAGTTATATTACCAGTTTTAAAGGAAAAAAATGTATTGTCGGGATGTAAAAGGTTCCTATATAATATATACTGACCCGGATAAAAATATTAAATAAAATTTGATTCTAGATCTACGGATAAATTATTTTTATATAACAAATAAATTTAAGCCGATTTTTATCATCATAATAATGGTAACACTACTTGACCATTAATTACTGGTGGTAAAACTCTGCATAACTCACTAAGGAAAATAGATATGTATGAATAGATAAAATAGATATTATGTAATGTATGTATCTATTCAGAAATGCCATTTACTAACTTGTCTTTGTAATAAAAACATCAAATTTTTCTTCTATTTTTACGTATATTAAATTACTCATACTATGATACATATGATGATGATGATGATGATAATTATCACATATAATTACTAGATTTCATCTGCGACTTCGTCTGAGTGACCGGGATATGTTGATTATCCCAGATAAATAATGACCTAGGGGTATGTCCTTTTCTACTCCATATATGCGGTACGTGTTCATAATGGTTGGTTGAGCAGTTAAGGCGCAAAGAAGTGACAAACAAATAAACAAACAACCTCACTTGCATTTATAATATTTGTAAGGATTATCACGTAACTACTACAATATTTACTTGTCAAGTAGCCGTTGTAATTTCTGTATCCATTGTTGTATGACGATATAGCGACATGCTTATTAGTTGCCGGATCATTAGGATTTCTTAGTAGTGAAACTTACAATTCATGCCACTGTCATGTTACAAAGTGCGTGTTAAGCTTTTGATATCCGTTCATTCTATAGTAAACATTATTCCGAGAATGATTTGGTTGAATCTTTGTTTTGAAAACGGATAAACGAAGGAATTTGCAGAATATTCCTAGTAGTGCGCTAAATAGATTTTGTATTAATACTATATAATGTATATACAATAATATCACTACATATTATAAAACAAAGTCCTCCGCCGCGTTTGTCTATCTGTTCGCGACAAACTCAAAAGCTACTGCACCGATTTTCATGCTGTTTTCACAAATGGTTCTCGAGGAACGTTTTAGTATATAATTTGTTAAGTTTTTTTTTTACATTGACTAAAATATAACGACATTTGTTGGAGGTATCGTAAAAAAATAAGCTTATAATCTTATTGAAAGTTGTAATAAAATTTAAAACAAAAAGCCACGTGATTTAACTAAATCTTGTTTTTATTCATAGGAGCGATAGGCTGATGCTGATATCTAATTATACAAAAAAATGCAGAACACTAATACGAATCTGGAAATAAGAACAGTTTAAACAGTACTTATAGATCTCTTATCCATGGCAATCTATGGGGGAGGCCTATGTTCAGCAGTGAACAAATAATAGCTCAGATGATGGTAATAGTATAGAAAAAATTTACAAAAAAAATCTACCTATAAAAAGTCGCCACATAAATGTATGAAGAATTATCAAAAAAATTCTTAAAAACAGATGCAAATTAAATGTCACCTCAAAAATAGACAAAAGTGACACAATATATAAACTGTTTATTAATTAAAAAAATTATATAATTATAAAAGGTTGTCTGTAAGAGATTGCCCCAGCGATAAAACCGTCTTTTGTACCTTTATATTCAGTACATTTTAATCTGTATTTTATACTATTGTATTTCATTTAAATTATATGTCATTATTTATTTTAATATTTTTGGTGCAATAAAGAGTTAAATAAATAAATATATTCTATTTCTCTTACATAATACATGTAATATTGTCCTGATAAAGTATTATTTCTTTCAAATAGTAAGGCGGTATACTCATTAGAATTCAGCGCGCGCGTCTCGCATACCATCCGAGGATATCGTGTTAAGAGCTGCAATTAATTTGAATATTATATTAAAATCTACATACATGTTATTGCAAGTAGGTCGGAGCTTTGTTGTCAGGAATCTGTTTAATGAACTACATATATATCTATGGGGTATAGATTTAATCATCTTGATGGCAACTTCAATTAATTGCTCGTAAATGGTTAGTATCTATAACTTAACAATTTTTTTCCACAAACACGGCAGATTCTGTTATCTATCGGATTAAAAAATAATAATTGAAATCGGTTCAGAATTTATGAACACTACGTAATCGTAGACAATTTTTATAATCTTTTTGATGTATTTACTAAGATATAACATATACACGTTAAATAGTTTTAAACTTAATAAGTAACTGCCAATTCTACTAATGGGAAAGTTTGTAAAAGATGTTTGTGTGTTCTTCTGAATCACACTCAAGGAGCTTAACAGATTTGCTTCAAATTTACTATAAAGATAGATCATTATAGGATATTTCTATTATTTAATCATGAACTATTAATATTAAAGAACTGTTCATGTCTATAGATGCTAACTTCTACTTTTCATCAGGTGAACCTTCAGGTTGTTGGCCATTATAAGTTGCATAAAAAAATTATAAGTGTAAAAATTTATCATGATTTTAAATATCAGGACTAGCTATTTTTTTAATTGCCTTTGAATGTTTGTTAATGAAACATGTTTAAATAGTTGAATATATTTTATTTAAGTTTAGTACAAGATAGACTATATTCTTGATAAACATATATAATAATTTGTATTCCTTTTCATACGAGAAAATCTTTTACATGCAGCTAAAAAATAATACGTAATAATATCCATTTTCTGATCCTAATACTTTGTATAATAAATAATTCATATAACAAGATATCAAATAACGAGTACGACAGATAATTATCTTATATTTGAAAATAGATTATAAATAATAAATTATTATTATTATTATATACACATACGATACCCCTAGAATTGCAGACGTCTATTGACTACGATAACCGTTTGTCATCAGATGCGCTATAAATCTATTCACCATTTTTGTGGTAATTAAAAAATATACATTTATTATCGATGTTTAAAGCATCTAAATTAGAGTCTAAATGGATATATCATAAATATGCGACTTTTTGCTAAACTTTCCAAATCGTCGATCAAAATTTAAGTCTTATTTTCACATGTGCAATGTCTATGTACAGTGATTTTTTCTTATCACGAAAATTCAAATATTAATATCCTACTGCATGTTTATCCATCCATGAGAACATCTAATACACGTAGATATTAAATCCTCGTCGATCTATAAAGATATCGTATAATAAACTTATTGTGTATAAATTTTAATAAACATCTTAAATAATTGTCAATGCATGGACTAATACTTAACAAAACTATTAGAAACTTCAATCCTAGCAAACATATTGTAATGTATTAAATTTAATAATAATTTTCACTTGTAACTAATACATCAATAAAATAAACCTAGTTTGTACAATATCCCGTAATATATTTTAACCCAGAATCAGTCAAATGCAATATATAATAGTAAATTACTTAATGCACCGACCTATAAAAGATTTAACACACTCACACTTAATAGAAGCCACACCCCCCGGCAGCGGTTCCTTTGTTCTTACACGCGCATACATGCGCACAACGTGTCAGCTCTATACATGTGTGCGTTAAGGGGCCAATGAAATATATGTGCAATAATTCTTACTTACTTTTTATTTGTCGAAGCCCGTTGTATTGGCGATTGAACTAGCTATTCGAACGCTATATCCTGCCGCCTAGATAGATAGCTATTCATTTAAATAACGCGTGTTTTTTCCTTAAAAGATTACGAAAAAAAAACTCTTTGTAATATCAAAAGGGATTTTACGCAAATTGGGACTATCCTCCTGAGGGAATACTCTGCTATGAAAAAGTCTTAAAATCATAGCTACAGAATCCCAATAACGATAATTACAACGATCATTATAGAAGCACAATTTGACGGGAATCAACTTTTCCATCCCCATTACTGAGTGACAATGGTAGAACAATTTCCCCTGTGCACCCTCTTAAAATCTAGCACGAGTGCGAGCGAGAAGACACTATATTATACTTCTGATGTGTGGGTGAGGCCGTGTTGTACGCATTAGGTTTAAATACTGGTGCGGAAAACTGTGTACAGCATTAGCCAGTCGGCATTCGCGGAAAGCGGACGTCGTTCGCGACAGACCAACATGTCATAGTTTTTCACGATCTCGCAAACTCTCTTCTCTTCTAATCTCTTAGTACTAGTTAGGTATAACGATACGTATCATGATTCTAATTTAGTAGCAAAATTTTGGTGCTCAAAAGATAACTAAAAAGTATTTTTATACTCGAACCCTGTAATGGGACTCGTTAGGTTAGATATAGTATAGTAAATTTATTGTATATTAGTGTGATAGAAGACTTGAAGAGATGAACTTCATAGGTAAGTTTTCAATTAAAATATTTAATCGTAGAGGTTTATAGTTACTGTAGACTGCTACGAGTTTGTAGCACTGCTACGTCATGAGCTACGAACCGCTACGAAACTTTAAACTTTTCTCAATTTTTCTTCTTAATTATTTTTGCAATAATTATCACTGATATTATGTTTTAGTATGTAAGTATACTACATACTTGAGAAGGCGCTACTGTTAGACTAAAAACTATAAATAACTTTGAACATAATTATGCAATACATACCGTCATATATACTCGTATACAAAACTTTACTTATAAAACATTATATTATTTCAAACGTTTAATAACAATTTAAATTCGTCGAAAATTTAGCTTAGACCATCTCTAACTTTAATGAAATTCTGTTCACGATTGCTAACGTAATTTAATTATAATATATAGGTACTACACATTATATTTGATCTGGTGGTTTCTCACTTCTGCTTTTAAAATATATATATTAAATATGTTATATATATATATATAATATATATAGAGTAATTTTGCTCGTCATTCCCTTAATCTCAGTAAGATTTTCAACAAGGGCATATTATACATTACCATATAACAAAGACTGAGGTTTTATTCAACTATTGCTTAATGGATTAGAATATATAAAACTATTTATCTTGCGTTATCTTCACGCTATCTAGTTTAGGAATAGGTAGAGCAGTGTTAAAAGCATAACTACCAATGATAATAGCTCCTATACTTAGATAAAAGTTAATATCAAAAGTAGTTCAAACTACAAACGTTATCCTCCCTTTTTTTCTTTTAATTTTTCGTTTAATAATTGATTGCTAAAAATTGTCATATTGGATCAGCCATCTTCCAGCAATATACTTATCGATAAATAATATTTATTATTAAGATAATTATTATAAGTAATAGAGAATTGCAATAATTTAAATAACAATCGAATTCCGTCAATAAAGCCAAGGTTCAGCAATGTCAAAATCCACCCACCCACCACTATATAGTGACTCAGAAGTTTTTATATTTCCGAATTAAGCTATTAACTCAGTTGTTATGATGGACAACAATAGTCAATCATATTGTAGATTTTTGAACATATTGATATCAATACGTATATATTTTATACCAACCAAAGGTGGTTGGAGATGAATACAAATGTGTTCCTAATCTCGTTTTGTTAGCAATCGGTATATTTAACGCCCTGTTATTTTTCAAATTGGCTTCTTTTGATGAAATTAGAATTAAAGGTTTGCGTATTATTCATTTATATTTAAATTGAGTATATCTATACTAATATAGTAGAGTCAGAGAGTTTTTTCGTTTATTTAAACGCACTAATCCCTAGAACTACTCGGATTTGGACAATTCTTTAAGCGTTTGATAAATCTTTTTTGAGAAATTTTATAGGCTATTCAAGATTACGATACATTCACAGGTGAAACCGCAGGATGCAGTAAGTATAATATGTTTTAAAAAAATCACGTAATTTCTCCAGGGTAGCAGAACATCGCTAAGAATATAGGTGAAACAAAAAATATTTATATATAGAAGTAATATTACATAATATATCTTCTATTGTTAGTACATAATCACGGTTCATACAAATCAAGATTGTACCACGAAAAAAAATATTTTCAATTCAAATAGACTTGACAAAGCCTGGTTAGGCATTTACGAATATTTGGATAAATGGAAGATTGTGTCTGAATTAAGTAATTTACTGTCGTTCAATCAATTGATATAATGAGATTTTTTCGTTATCGTTTCATTTATTTTGCGTTCTTATTATTACTATTGGTACAGTTTTTTTTTTTTTTTTTAAATTTGAAATAACGATGAACAGGACCAGCTAACAGAAATTGTTACCGTCACTTCTAGATATTAATAGTACCATCAACACCACTAAAAATACAACAAAAATACACAAGATATCTGTCGTATTATTATTACTAAAAATTTTAGCGTTTCGCTTCTATATATACCGTAGTGTATAAATATATATACTACTATATGCAAACATTATAAAATTAAAGATACGACCCAACAAACTCTATTACTAGTAACATTATTTTATAACTAATAAATTAATGAATGGGTAACACCAATTAATCACACACAGTTTTATTTAATTCTATATTTGAAATATAAACTAGATAAAAAGTTTATTATTTAAGTAAATAGAATACAAAATGTAGAACTTCCTGTCTTTTCCTTTTCACTAAAATAACCTTCTGACTCCTCCTATAATAGAAACTTGGTATGACTTAAAACATACTTTTAAATAATAATATTAACATTCTATACATAATAGTATTGATACAATGGCAAGAATATAATATTAACAGTAATATTGCTACATCATATTCGCGTTGTTCGTTTCTAAAAAGGAAATTTCTCAACCGAAATTGTGTATTACAAAAACTCCTTTTATTTATTTGTAAGCGGAATAGATAATAACTTTCGAGACACTTTAAAAGATAAATTGTACAATAAAGTTTAGTAAGAATCCAACAAACAATTATTCTTGTGAGACCGACAAATTTGGACTGTTTTTGAAATACCTCCGCCGTTGGGTCCCCGGGGTCGGATTTGCGAAGTTCCGTAAGTTCCCTACAACGTACAAAATTAAAATGAGACCTTTTCTGAGAAACTGTGATGAACTTGGTATTGTTATTAGTATTATTGTATACCACAATATGTAAAATGGAATCAAGAAAATGGAGTATGTAGAAAAACTTAATTTTATGACACCAATTTTAACCAATCTATTTTTATTCAATACGGAAATGAATATTTTTATGTTACCAGACTTAAAATATCCGTATAGTAAAAAATAATGAATTCTGTAACATAGTATATGCATTTGTGTAACTTTTTGTTCATCAAATATTTCACTTTGATGTGAATAAAAATTTCACTTAATTTGTATACTTTGTTATAAGCATATTTTGTACTTATAGTATATATATCCTATATTTATCACAATTCAATTGTTAATTAAATATATTATCTCTGCTTTTGATCACAAACAATAAATTATTATTAATCGATATACATATATTCTAAAATACTTGTGTTAACTACATTATATAATAAATCTAAATATTTCTTTCAATTTATACAATAAACAAATTTTTCTCCCAAATTTTAAACCTCTGTTGATGAAATTTATCATTTCTCATAATCCAAATAAACATAATACACATATAACACGCAGCAAACATTAAAGCTAAATATTGTCTCAGCCCAATATCTTATTCTAAATATAGGCCGTGGAGAAAGGGCAAGAGAAACAAATATTACCGAGATTTGTTTTATGTTTTTCGGTACCGGGTATTTGACGTTGCAGATTCAATATCTTGAACGTTACGTCGACACGTAGTATGTAACCCTTATCTAGTCGGCAAAGAAGTGTAATAGGCTCGATTTTATTGTTATATTTTACATATAAAGTAGTCAATAAATAGTATCTTTTCGCATTGGACAAGCGTATATCGCTCATCATTATATCGGCCTATCCATCTTTCCTTACCAACCGTAAGCGACCTTCAAATGAGTGATTTTATGGGATCTATCCATCAACTTCTTGCCATCTTTTAGACTTTTGGCCCTCATCGATCTTTCAAGTTATAAAAATTACATCTAAGCCTTAATTTTAATCATCCTTACTATACTTATTAACAATTTTACTTATTTTTTATAAGTAAAACTGAGTATGGTTGTTTATTACCTCTTGATATCTTGACGGTTCAACTAAATATCTTAAAATTTGCCATACACATGTAATGTTAAGCTTGGAGAAAGATATAGTTTATTAATATTTCTCATATTTTTTATTATTAATGTATATATAATAAACTTAAATTTGCGCTGAGTAAAAATATGAGACTAACACGAGAAGATGGCATACTACATAAGTTACGCTAATTGTTTCTCACTAAATAGATAAAACTAGACAGAATTTGGGGATTCTGATTATAACCGATAAATAGACAGTCAGGTTCACTATAAAAGTTAATGGACTATAATTAAGCTTTTGGAGCATGCGTTTGACCGACATGTTCAAGGCTGTCCGCGTTGGCAAAGCGCCAAGTAGGTTGCTCTGCATCCCATCCAGGCCCCGGTTTAAGGCAACAGGGATGCCAAACTCTCCTAGTTTAGCCATGAACTAGTTTCATCTTAGCCATAATGTAAGAATATATAAAACTACTTTCTGAATTTTTCTTCATTATACCACTAATATTACATCCTTATATAATATTTTTAATCACCCTTTTAACAACTGAACAGATTTAAACGAAATTTACTACAAATATAAACCATTTTTTTATACAACTTAGAATGGCAAACAAGCTGACGGCCCACCTGATGGAAAGTGGTAGCCGTCGCCTATTTATTACATTAACAATTAAAATAATTCTTCCAGTAGTGCAACAAAGTATATATATATATACAGGCAGGCAATACTTTGAGAAATAACTAGTTATATGCATAATACAAACGTTAATCAAATAATAATAATATTTTTAAATTTAGCGACAATGTATATGTAGATTTTACTACGCAAAGATACCGCACTTCAATTAACTTCATATTTACTAAAACTTTTATTATTCTTATCATAAATAAATAACATATAATGATATATGAATGTAATTTGAATTTGGAACTCGTTTGTCTGCAAGTAAATTTTACTTTGCAATAAAGAAGACTTTACTCCTCTATCAAAAGTCTTTACTAAAAGTACAGTTCTATCACTGATAGTAGAATTATATTACTAGTAATAGAATTTGATTATTAGTAGTAAAATTCCATACTAATAGTATAATTTTATTGCTAATAGAAAAGTTATTGAAATAATTACACCGTGTAATCAGTTTATATACATTTTCATCGATTATTGTAACGCGGAAAAAAGAAATGCTACAAATACTATTTGTGATATTCAGAATGCAAAGTTTTCTAGGCAACAAAACTTGTTAAAGTCACCCCTGCTATACCGAGCTCACA